TCACATAACTAGTGAAAATGATACATAAAAGTCAATAATTATTTAAACTATTCAATAAACATGACGCATAAGTAATTGGTTTACCTCGGCATAATATAAATCATGTGTCTCGTCTGTTATCTCAAGTGGAATCAATTTAACAAGATAAATAGGTAGATCCAAGTATTTGTTTTCACTTCCCCAATCGCTAATACAAACAAACGGAATCCATTCCAAATAGGGTTGATTTGCTGAGTTTGTTTGTAGCTGAGATTTCTTAATAAACTCATCGAGTTGCTTATTGTTGCTACTCCATCCATCGGATAATTGCTGATGTCCGCAGATGCACCACACGGGACTACATCGGAGTATTCCACATGCGGAGCAGAATCCATATCGAGAATAACAATCGTAAAAGCGTTTATGAGCAACCATGTAATAGTTGCTATCATATTTGGTGAATCCCCTTATGAGTTTATTGCGACGCTCAAGCCATTTGGAATATCGTCCATATTGCCTGATATCATTCTTGTACTTGTGTGTTGGAAGTGAGTATATTCTTGCAAACTCACTCACAAATGTTGGTGTACATTCTTTACTACTTCCAAGTAATATCAGCGTTATTTCCGCTTCATCATAATACTTGCGAATAGCGTAGTAGACGGCATCGACCTGACTTGGTTTTATGCCGGTAATCTTGGAGCAAGGAATCCATTTCAGCCTTAAGCATTCATATTCACTTTCCAAGGAGGATTGAATTAAGTTGTCAATTGCTGGATTATTAACCCCTGGAACTAATGACATCTTTTGAATAAGAAGTTTTTCCAGTACAATTACGAGAGAGCATTCTCAACGTTTGTTGTGTTACATCACACGAATCTCCAACATATCTTTTTCAAACGCATTGAATGGTGCAACATTATACACAAAATAATTAATATATCATACAAATGTAAAATAATACTATCATGTACCTTCATAGGGTTTATATATTTACATGAGCGAATGGATACTTGTTAGGACGACTTGGTCGTTCTTAACGTTGCCCGAATCACACGTAATTCACTCCTATTAAATTACCGATTATAATACCGTCTAGTCAGAAATAGCGTAATGCCACTAGTCCCTATGAAGATAAGATTAATATTAAATAACTTCACTATCTACGACAGACTAACAAGTAAACCCTCTACCTATAACAATGATAGCAGCAAGCTACAGTATAATGAACTTTGGCTATAACGAAGATCTGTTCATAATGAAGAATGTCTCCAAACCAATCACTAAATGATTATATCTTTGCTATAAAACGAGACCTTGGTTATAAGAAATTTCAAGATATAAGGAATAGTTTTTCCAGCCCATAGAATTCGGTATAACCAGATTAGATCGTAGTTGCATTACCATCATAAAATACTGTTGATAAATATAAGGTGAATCGCGTTCATGTTAGTGTGCGACAGATCAGAACTAAAGACGGTACGTATAAATTTCCAATCTTTGGAAAAGTACAGGCAGAATTCTAGCACGAGCATGGCCGGGATTCAAAATTATCTTGTTGGTCACTTTCGCGATACTCCTCTTTATCTTTTGCAATTTCTGTTACACTCGCCCACACTTTGTTAAACCCGCAACACTTAATGAAATTAAAATTGGCAAAAAGGACAGATATCTCTTATCTTTCGTTGTAATGACAGCGCCTCGGTGACTGATTTGAAGGCACAGAAATACTTGAAATGGGTACAAGAAGATGGGTATGAGTTGAATCAACGATTACATGTCTCAAAGGCAATGAAATTGGTTGCCGAGAATTTCAAGACAACCTATTACTATTATGTTGCACTTGTGGAGGACGATTTCCCGTTATGTGAAGGCAAATACTTACTGTTGTGAATATGGAATTACCGGATCATTGTAGCGTGTTTGTTGGAGGTTAGTATCTATCTATCTATCTATCTATTTATTTATTTATTTATTTATTTATTTAATAAACTCCACCCGGAAAGCAGTATTCTGTATTCTCGGGCAACTTTTCGATAATACGCGCTTCTATCTTTGAAAAATACTTGAGGCGTGAATACAAAGACAACTGTATGGTACTCGCGAATAGGAAATGCTTTCACACACTCTATCTGAATTTTATTTATCTCTACAGTTTCCCATCATAGCAAGAATATTTTTTTATTTCAGATTCAAAATTAATAAAATCTTTATTACTAGGAAGACGAATATCTAATTTCGGTGATCGTCGCGTCGCAACCGCTTTTTGATCATTGATAAGCGTAAAACATGATGAGAAATTCCATTTATATATTTGTTCGCCTCTTCAATATCCACAAGCATAGACGGTATGGTATATCTTGATAATTAGCCAGAGAATAGCGGTCGATCCTTTGTTATTTTCTGCGGATTATCCCATTATGAGTAGGAATACGTGTACCTCGTAAATAATCTTCCCCGGAATATCGGAATACTCTGTTCACCTCTTCGCGTTATCGCTATTATTTCCGCGTTCAGAGACAGAAGCAAAGCTTCCTGCTCAATAGACTTTGATTTGTGTTTCAGTGATATTTGGGTATCCGTTGCAAGTGCACTCACAACGGTTTAGAAAAGTTCAAATAAAAATAATAACTAATTGATTTTTTTTAGAAACATTAGTATTAGTTACAGAATACGTGTATAAAAAATTTAATTAGCGAACTAGCAAAGCTAACATGGGCTTTTATTATTGTTATATTCTCCGGACTGGGCCAAAAGGGTGTAAAATTCATTGGAAGGCTCCTACGCGCGCGTACCTTGTAAAGAATGCAGTAAGTTGACATTCTCTACATATGTGTAAAGATCATCCGGTTTAAAGATTATTACGAGAGCTGTTCGATAGACCATTTCAACGAATTTATTATAGAGTGCACATAAAATTATACTAAACCCTCGAAATAATATCCGCCAACTCTGTGTATCACCGAAAAAATTACCCAGAACATATGAGACTGGAGTAGATGTATTCTAGAATATGTCAGGTGTGAGCATAGATCATGATGCTATTGTCACTATGAAATATAAAAATGATAGTAATTCGCAATTCTATCATTATAGAACCGTTACTGGATGAGCGTCGTCATTCGCCATTGTCGCCATGGAAAAATTACTACTATTTAATATATATATACAGTATATATGTTTTTTAATTATACCCAAGTACCAGAAGGTAGGTATATTGCATGTAGCATATATACTGGCAATAGATGTATTATGTGTAGTAATAGTACGTATACTGGAAGGTATATATATCACATGTAGTATATGTACAAAAAAATTTTTTCATAGTGACAATGGTGACATAATGACAGGAAGTGCGTTTAATTTCTTACTTAGCTTTTCCGTCGAAAAGATGAGGTATTAAGGACTATCCAAGCGCAATATACTACCGTAGAGCGCTGACTAAAGTACCCCGGGTATTTTACATTTCACTTTTTTTTGAGGGGTACTTTACTCGGTGGGT